TTTGATGAATGAAAATAGATGACTAAGATTAAAAGTAGGAAACGTGAAGATATTCACTGGAAAAAAAGTCAATCTAATCCATCTATTTTTACTCATGTGTAAAACTAAAGAGTTTGCATTTGTGTAAGTGGATCCTAACCCATATCATGATAAAATTTAAATTTTATTTTATTATCTAATTCAACCAATTTTGTTTAATATATTGTTTTTTCATATTATTTTTAAATAGAAAATTATTTAAAATTAATATTAATTTATTCAATTTAATAGTATAAAGTTAAGATAATTTTTAATATAATAATATATTTTAATATATGAATGGATCGAGGAGGGACAATGGGCGACAATCACTCATCTTAACTGTTTAGATTACCTATTTAAAATAAATATTAATTTATTCAATTTAATAGTATAAAGTTAAGATAATTATTAATATAATAATATATTTTAATATATGAATGGATCGAGGAGGGACGATGGGCGATAATCACTCATCTTAACTGTTTAGATTACATATTTTAAATTTTTTTATATTTTCTATGATAATCTACCAAGAATTAACTAATAAGATATATAAAAAGTTTAGATTATTAAGAATACATTTATTTATTGTGTATGGGAGGAGAGTAATAGAAGATTTTAGGGTAATATTAAGAAGCAATAAATGATTTTAGACGTCATAAAAGAGATTGTTTGTGTTAAGCTTACTAGTAGGGTCATAGATAGTAGAGATGATGTAAATAGGAGGCTTTGTATTAGATGGGATATTTGCTTTTAGGGTATCTTAAATATTTGTTGGATGTCTTTTCTTTAGCACGTTTATGCTTATTTAGATAATATACAAAAATTATAAAAAAAAATTAATCTGACCCAACTTTAAAAAGTGAAAATTTGAATCCATATAAAACATAATTTTTTTTCTTTATATCTGTTCAAATTTCGAGCACAACTCGTCCATCAACATCTTCTTTGATCTTAGTGTCTATTCGCTTCTTTGAGTTTAATATTTTATCCCTACTTTTCTCTCTACGATTGGTGCGTTGTAATTCTAATTTCTTTATTTGTTTTTATTAATGAAATTGAGTTGGTATTGTTCAAAAAAGTATTCCTAATAAGTTATTATGGTGGTAAGAATAATAGATTGAAACCAAGAAATGCATGATCCTTATATGACCACGACGAGCAGTGATCGAAATCTAAGTTGACACCTATATAACAAAAAAATTAATAAAAGAAAAGTAAAATCAACACAAAGTTAGTGAGATTAACCGTTGAAGAACCAAACAAAATTTTTTTCTAAAATTCAATGATTAGATTAAAAAAATTTAAAAAGTAATGCTCAAATTAAGAGCGAAAAGAAAGTTGAATTGCAAAAATAAAACAAAATTCTTTCACACGAACCTTCCTAAGAACTTACAAAGGAAAAAGAATATTGCTCACAATGCATCTGATCACGTTCTTGGTTTAGCCATGGATATAGCCTACACGGCAAACGAAAGCGCCCCATCTGTGCCACCATGGCTAAACGAAGGAGACAATGCATGGCAAATGACAGCTTCCACAATCGTCGGAATTCAGAGCATGCCGGGACTCTTAATCCTCTATGCAAGCATCGTCAAGAAGAAATGGGCCGTCAACTCCGCCTTCATGGATCTTTACGCCTTCGCCGCCGTCCTCATTTGTTGGGTTCTTTTATGCTACCGTATGGCCTTCGGGGATGAGCTCCTCCCTTTCTGGGGTAAAGGTGCACCGGCTCTAGGCCAAAAGTACCTTATCAGCCGAGCCAAGTGCCCGAGAGCTGGAACAGGGTTTCCGACCGCAGCCACGAGACGACGGAGCCTTTCTTTCCCATGGCTTAACTCGTATATTTCCAATTCACTTTCGCCGCCATCACTCTTATTCTGCTAGCTGGTTCAGTCCTCGGCCGAATGGATATTAGGGCCTGGATGGCTTTCGTGCCACTTTGGCTTATATTTTCGTACACGGTCGGAACTTTTAGTCTTTGGGGAGGAGGCTTTCTCTATCACTGGGGTGTTATTGATTACTCCGGCGGCTACGTTATTTACCTCTCCTCCGGCATCGCCAGTCTCACGGCGGCGTACTGGGTAAACATGAATCAAACTATTGTCTATTCGCTTGTAGTATTATTTATCAAATTTCGAGGCTTTTACGACACCGGTAAAAAACCGAAACAGGTTGGACCGAGACTAAAGAGCGACAGAGAACGATTCCACGACCAATGTTCTGCTGATGCTTGCGGGTGCAGGTTTATTATTGATGGGATGGTCGGGATTGAACGGCGTAGCACCTTATGAAGGGAATATCGACGCTTCGATGGCAGTGCTCAACACGAACGTTTGTGCGGCGACCAGTCTTCTGGTCTGGACATCTCTCGACGTTATCTTCTTCGGGAAACCTTCGGTGATCGGAGCTGTTCAGGGAATGATGACAGGCCTCGTTTGCATGACTCCGGGAGCAGGTCCGATTGTAAATTTTTGAGTTAAGGACACAAATAGTCCCTCAAGTATTAACCTACTTTATTGAATTATTCGACTATTAAAAGTTTTAAAATGATTATAAAAAATATTAATATATTTCAAATTCATCTTTTACCGTTAAAAGATTGATGGTCGTCTGAGCTAAACGTTGGTCTGTTGACTGAGATATGATAAAATTTGATCTTATAATCATTAAAGCTGTATTTTGTGGATTGAGTATCCGTTTATATTACGTTGTCAAGTTAATACTGGAAAACAATAATGGTGCATGTAGACATAGAGATGATCATGGGTTGGGTCAGGTTTTCGGTTAACCTTACCCGATTCGATATGAAAATATATATCTTCCACCTGGAACCCGATCGAACTCGAATTTAGGGGTGACTTCACTCGACTTGAACTTGACCCTTTTTTTTAGATAAAACATGAACTAGACCCTTTCCAACCTGAAATAAATAGAAGTATATTTATAAAAAAATGTATTTTTATTCAATAAAAATAAGGATCTAATTAAAAATAATAATATATAAAGAGTTATTATTGTAATTATCCCTAAATGTATAAGGTAAATTTACATTATTTTTTTGGTTGGTTTGGATAAAATATTTTTTACCCTAAACCTAAATATGACCCAAACTTAAATTTGTTTAAAAAACCTGACTCAATCAAGCTGAAACCCATCGAGTTTGAGTCTAATGCTCATTCATATGTAGACATCATTAAAATATAAATTTATTATATCACGATCAATATGTTAACGTTCATCTCAAACGACCGATCATCAATGTCTAACAGAAAAAAACGAATTTAAAACATATGAATAATTGAATGATTATTTTATAATTTTTAATAGCTGAAAATTTCAACAGAACAATATTTTATAATCGATAACCTTTTGCATACTTAAATTTTTATAAACCTAAACCACGAATACATTTTTGGGAAACTCGTTTGATTTTATTTAGTTTTGTTTGGCGCAGGATTGGTGCAATCGTGGGCTGCAATAGTAATGGGAATGCTTTCGGGCAGCATTCGGTGGGTAACAATGATGATTCTTCACAGGAAATGCAGTTGGCTACAACAGGTAGGCGATCGGACAAAAACTGTCTTCTCATTTATGTTTCGTTTATGTCTTGGTTTCATTATTCTCATCACTTGTTCCACATCGAGTCTACCCACCAACAAAAGTTACAAGGTCTAGAAAGTAGAAAGACTCGGGTTGGATGTTTTATTAAAAGAGCAGTTGTGGGATGATTCTCCGTGGTGGTTCACGGTTGCTGCCAAAGAGCCACGTCTATGTTCATAAATTCAGCTAGGCTGATAGTTTGACCATGTCTAGAGATCTAAGAGATGGACATCTGATCTAAACCTAATAAGTAGTTTTTAATCTGATAAAGTCAAATCTCTTTTAAAACTCGAGTTTAAGTTAATTTTAAAAAAAAAGATTGATCAAATCAATTCAGGTTCGAGATAAAAAAAAATATAATCTAATTTAGCAGCAATCGCATAATTAATCTTTTATAATTTTAGGATATTTACTATAATACCTTTTCTTATATATTTTTCAATTATGTATCTATTTTATCAATAAGATTATCATAGCACGTATCAAGCGATCTCGTAGTTTAATGATTAAAAGATTATGATTATCCCTCGAATTTTTGAATTCGAGTACGATATTTACAGATGTATATAAATATTTATTATTAAATAATTAAAAATATTTCAAATATTTACAACTTATACACCCAACTAATTAAAAAAATAAAGATTATATATATACACACACCTATGATATGATCAGCCCTAACCATATCCTTGTGCAGTACTTCACTGTTGAAGTTAATGTGATGGGGTATCCAGAAAGCTGCTTCATTAGTAATATCAGCATATTAGTGAATCCGTACGAAAGAGACGTTAATGCTCGTCCTTTTCACCTGTTTTTCTTCTTGCTTAAAGTCACGGTTTACCCTGAGCAAAATGACCAGATTGACCCCACTTTTGGGGATTTAACACCCATGTGGCTTTCATTGCTGGAATCATGCATGACTTTTGAGCAGTACTTCATCATGTTTCCAATCTTCATTCTTCAATAGCCAAAGCACATCAATGTTGACTAATATTTAAAAACAATATAAATTTTATATATGAAAACCCACTCTTAAAGTCTTAATTAAAAATTTCCACTGGGCTTTGTGTTAAGAATTCAGTAGTTTTATATTACCATTGATAAACAAATATATATATATATATATAAAGTTTGATAGTATGTTTCAGTTAAGCTTTTAAGTGCTTGTACTATATAAGTAATTTTGAGAATATAATAAATTCAAATTTTCGGTATGTAGTTTGGTTATTTATAAGTTAAGTTCCTTTTAGAGGTTTAAACCATTTGGGATCCTAATCAGTCCAGGTTCAAGCATCTCGAGTCACTTGTTCAAGGCCAAGTACCTGCCTAAGCAGTTCAATTATTGAATAGTATAATAATACATCCGAGCCTTTTAATAATCAAGACGTCTTTCAAGCAGAAGATAATTCCGCTTGGCCTTGAAAAAAATAAATGTAGCACCAAAACTATTACAAAGAAACCTAATATATCATGTTCCACAAGAATTTAGGCAAATATTAACTAATCAAATCCAAGAGGACGTGGATAGAGAGGCAGTCAATGTCTCCATCTAGTGCAAATATGAACTAATCATCAAACCGTTCCCAATCCCGTGTTACATTTGTTGAAGACGACGTAGGCGGAGGGGCAGTCAAGCTTCCCATCCCGGAGTCGAAAGTCTCCCAATTTGTTGCGACTTTTACGGCATTATGTTTGTCGATAAAAGGATTTGAATTTCTCGTCTTTAATTTGTCGAGCGTGTCGTGGAAGTTTTGGACACGCCGTACCTGATCAAAGGGTGTAATTAGTTGTTACAACAGCATAGAGTACTTTAGCATCTACAATAATTTATCGGCTAGATACAAAGCTTGCAATTTCTAATGCTTGAAACATAATTCCACCCTACATTGCCTAATCTACAAAGTGCATAAAACCCTTTTCTCTTTTAGCAGAAAGCAAGAGATGATGCTCTGCTAGACTTGAGGCATGAATAGTATATTGCCATGAGTACACTCTTACGTCAAGGTTAACATGATAGAGAACAAGATTATAGCAAAAAACATCCTTCAACTAGCGGGTTTGCCAGTGCTTGATTATTATGGGAAGTAGCAAGTTCCAGCACCACCAACAAAAGGATTCCAAGGACAACTAGCAGTATTCTACTTATAGGAGGTGCAAAAATGACATCGAGGCCACAAAAGGAAATCCCAGAAGAGAATACCACAAGGAACCGAGGACTCGATATATTCCATTGGCAATTTGAAGAATATCAAACAACAGCAGTTCTATATTTCTTTTCTCATGTAGCATAGCCTTTGGCAGGTATTAAAATTCAAAAGTTGAGACTTACACTATCCATATCCCAATAACCAAATAAGTCGGAGTAAGGATCAAGTTGATTCCCCTCAAATAGGTAAGAACTCTAAATGGTCATAGCATTTCAAACTCCTTTCCAACAACAGCTAATACAGTTAAACAACTAACCTTAGATAAAGGAATATAAGCAAATAATCGATGCTCTCCCTAAGGACTATAATTTATCAATCTCAAAAACTCTGTTTAAATTCAAACCTTCCAAGGCATTGTTTAAGGTTTATTTATATCACAAACGATGTAATTAATAAGCGGAAACAAAAGAACTACGATGCAATATGCAAAAATTGTCCACGAACAGATTTTAGTAAACCTCAGTGCCTACAATACAAACCTCGGCCTTCCTCTGTAACTTCGCTTCTCCCTCAGCCTCGATCCCGTCCAATTTCAACAGCTCCCTCATGAGTAGCTCTGCCGATACATCAAATTCCTCATTTGCAACCTTTGTCCCACTGTTCACGACCACTTCTAAAGCAGCAACCTATCCAAAAGAACCCAGAAAAGATAGAGATAATTCAATTTAAGCATTGATGGAGTAGAAGGCTTCCCCATAAGTTACTCCATACTAACGAGTATAACACGCAGAGAAACTCACTCTTTCGGACAGCTTGTCGACTTCTTTTCTGACTCCAGCAACCGCCTCAAAGGCCTTCGACATTTCTTCACTTTCCTTCATCTCTTCAACCTTATTATCATTGTTTGCTGGATTACCAAATACCAAGCATAGTAGATAGATTACAGTTCATAACAGGAAATTAAATATTTCTCTACCAAGTTGATGAAAACAACCATCAAACAATCAAAATAATCATAGGAGCAAACGACAACTAATTTTTAAGTTCACACAAACCTAAAAACCGTTTACCAACATAATAAAAGGAATAGGAATGAAAACAAATAATACCAGAAGGTGCTTTAGGAGTTGAAACGCCGAGACCCATAAGAAAGGCATAAAACAAACGACAAAACCCTAATTACTCTTCATTCGTTATCCACATCACAAAAGCTACAATTAAATCCCGCAGGAACAATTAACACGCGAATACATCACGAAACGAATATACTAATTATCCCAAATAGAAAAAGTATATAACTTTTATTTTTTAATTTTTGGCTCTATGTGCTGCTGTAAAGAACCAAGAAGGTACAAGGAAAATACCTAAAGCAGAATGGGCGGGGACAGGGGCATGGAGCTGGTGCTGGCCCGGGCCATGAGTGGGCCCGCCAGAGGATGCCGACGCAGGTCCATGATCGTGGTTTTGATAAATAGCGTCGTCGCTTTCATGGTGTCTCTCCGCTGGACCAGCATCCCTCCTGGTCTTGCCTCACAGTGGGATGTTTCTTCGCTTTTGGTGTTGGGATTTCTCATTTGGGAACAACAGAAGCTTGGAGTATTTGACTATTGATTTACCCAATAAGACGGGAGGAGGCAAATCGACTATTATAATAAGAGAATTGCAATTTACGCGATTGAAGATGACGACAACGGCGGCAAGAATATATAAATAAGCATTGGAAGTTAGTAGGATAGAAGGCTGGGACTGTAAAACTAGGCCCAGTTCTAACGTCAAAAATCCGTTTTCATCAGCCCAATGTTTCCAACGGTGTCGTTTTAAAACTCCATCTAAGTATATTTGGGGGTGGTCTATTGAATTATACACTGCAAGATAATGAAGTTCCGTATTCGATTAAAAAATAGGGTAAATTATGTATTTAATAATTAAACTATCAGTTTTTATCCACTTTAGTACTTAAACTTTTAATTTTTTCAAAATCATACCTAACGTTTAGTTTTTGTTTCATTTTAATACTCTTTAAAAACTTAACGTTAAGTTCTTTTTAATGAAAGTTTAGATATTAAACGCATTAAGTTTTTAACGGTGGGTAGGGATTGTCAAAATGCTCGAACCCGACGGATTCCCACCCGACCCTATAGGGGCATTTCTTTTTAAAATTTTGGGGCTCGAGGGGTGGGTTATATAGTATATAATTTCAGGGCAGGACAGGGCCAGATTTAAGGTGAAAAATATTGACCTGATATATATATATATATATTAAGAATTTTAATTTTTATATTATTAAATATATTATTTAATTATTAAATATAAAATATTATTATAAAATATATTAATTTAACCGTTTAAAATATAATAAATAATTATAAATATATTATTATAAAATATATGTTTTGAATTATTTTAAAATATTAATCGAGACGGGGTCGAGATTTTGGTTTTATAATCGAGACGGGAAAAAACTTAAAATTCATCGGGTGGTGCGTGTTCAGGTTTTAGATGTATATTTTTGGGTCGAGGCGGCCAAAAAACACCTCGCCTCGCCACATGCCCATCCCTAATGGCAGATACTAAAATGAAACAAAAATTAAATGTTATGTATGATTTTGAAAGTTTAGATATTAAAATAGATTAAAATTGATAGTTTAGATACTAAACGAGTAGTTTACGCTGAAAATTATCATTCGTCTTTAATCGATTTGATAAGGGGTTAATTCTATTAGTAATCCCTAAACTTTTAAAGTACTTATATTTTAATCACCAAATTTTAAAATTTACAGCTTTTAATTCGCTATTATTATGGTTATAGTCGTCAGCTTATATTAAAAAACTGAAGTTAAAGTTTCAATAACCCTAAAGAAATTTTAAATTTCAAAATTTGCCTTTCAAATTGATGATTATCGCTCGGATCACGTGTTGTCACTATCTACCATTCTTTTGATCATGTCACGTTAGATGTTTTTTTTTTCCTTTTTCTTTCTCAATATCTCTGTTTAGATTCACTTGAGACCAACTAAAAGTATCAAACTAACACCTCCTTTCATCATAATTTCTATCGTTGTTTGATAATTTTTTCGGTCCACAAATTACTAATATCCTTTTTTCTCTTCTTTTCCGTTGATTCGAACTCGCCGCAAAATCTTTCAATCTCCTCAAATCTCAACCGAACTAAGACCTGATATTTTATGTTTTATCGTTATTAATCAGCTGTTTGACTTGAAACTAGACTATTTAATCTTTCCATCAAACAAAACTTCTCCATCGCTGGGATTAGCCGACGACTACTCTTTTCATAGAAAACTCAACCTTTGTGACGAATTTCAGTTTGGAAACTTGTAATTTTTTTTAAGGAAATTAAATTAAAAAATAAATAAACTTTAATGTGATGTCAATTTTTCTTAACGGCAATAACCATAGATAAAATTTTATTGTAAATTTTAAAAGTTAAATGACCAAATTACAAACACCCTAAAAGTTCAAGATTTACCGGTATATTTTACCCTAAGTAAACAAAGGTTCAACTGTCACTAGGGTGTTTCTGTTCGAGTTGTGTAAGATGAAATTATCATATATGGTTCTATGGTTAATTTGATGAACACCTCAAGGTTCAAGCAATTGCAGACGGCATGTCGAATACATATGTTCCTCCTCAATCCTCCCGTTAACATGTTTGATCATCTAGGAGGGATTACTCTTTGATACAGAATTTATTATTGTTCAATCAAAATTCTTTAGCTTCTGTTCAATACATGACCAAACCTAACTTTAGTTGATTAATCAGACCTGTCCATCGATGTTTGGCATTGGCAAGTATGATTCGTCTCAATTCGGTTAATCATTTTACTTTTCCCACAGGAAAGGTAGAAACAGATTATCCACATCAATTAAGCGTCGCAACCACTGCAATATTAGGTACACCGGGGCCATGGACACTGAGCTAGAACCATATTTTCGCCTCACTGTCATCTCTTATCCAGATATCATCCATCTCTCCACCACCATCATATCTGACCTGCACTTGAATCTACAAACTACAAGTATTTCAATTATAAACCTGATTTCTATCATACCCTCACAGTAATATTGCCAATCAACCCTATTGATGCCAAGAAATTAAAGAGAAATCATGTCTACCGAGGAGTTTAGGTCACTGGGAAAACAGTCATGGCAGTAGTCATTAACTTACCATGGCATACGCCAGCTGCTCATTCACCCCCTAAGACAAACATGGTTCGAATATGTAAGCTAACGAACCAAGTTCCCTTTGTAACATCACATAAAATTGAGGGTGCAACAGCAAGTAGGTTACACTTGTACCTGAAAGGCTAAGCAAAAAGTAAAAAAAAAATCCTTCTCATATAGGCAAAATAGAGAAGATCCTGCACAATTGTATATTTTAATTTGTTCAAGTAAATGTATGATACAGTTCTTAACTTCTTCTAGAATTGCTGACGCCGTAACATTATGCCCCGAAAACAAAATGATCCCTCTCTTTGCATAATATTAATTTTCCTAAAGATAATGTCCTGAATCTTAACTTGGGTTATCCATATCTTTTGACAACCAATTAGAAAGAGAGAAAAGCATAGAAACCACAAATTGTATGGCAACAAATAGAACTTTCCCCTATCCTCCGTCCGTTGCACCGTGTACGTGACTAAAACATAATTGCTGCTGAGGAGAGAAGAACACTTAAACCTTCAATCATGATAACTAGAATTCGTAGAAATGAAAAAAATAATTGTAAGACATTTACCAATTCTTTGATCATATGGTTATAGGTCCGTCTCATTTCCACTGTTTGCACCATTCAAGAAAGAATTTTCAACAAAAGCGATTCTACTTATCATAATTTTGCATCATTCACAGAAAAATCCATACTCATCAATCTATATAACCATGATTCATAAACCTCATTAATCACCACCTCTACACCCAATAATGGGAAGAATTATCACTTCATATATAAAAGATTACTAAGAAACAATCACCCAGAAGAATTCAACATTGAACAAAGCAGAAAGCAAGAATATCTGTTTCAAGTTATAAACGATAACCTCCATAGTGAATCATGAATCCTCAACGTAATAGAATATACAAACTACCAGGTTAAAAGTTAAAACTATAATGGCATGAGACGTATGTGAGTTTTTTAGCAGAAATAAAACAGCTTGACAAATTCTTGTTAATATGAACAAACAATATCAATCAGTAAACTTTGAACTCATTTCACTTTTATAGAATTAAAATTCATGTTTTAACTCATCCGATTATTAAAAGGGAAGAAAGGGTCATTCCACAATGGGACATTGTATTGTTAAATCTTTCGATTATTAAAAATTACAAAATGATCTCTTGATTGTAGGGTGTTGTATTGTTGGGTCCCTAATTATTAAAAGTTAAAAAATAGTTACCCAACTACTCATATGTTCCAAACTCATTCTTTTCCGTTAAAAAAATTAACCGTTGTCTGAGTTGGATGTTAGCATACCGATTGAGACATGATAAAATCATATGTTAATGATGTCTATTGGCTCCAGCATTGCTTTAAAGCATTGGTTCGACGTCATAATGTATAAAGCATTGTCTCACCAACATAATATAAACAAAGACTCGTTCCACAAAATATAACTTAAACATTTATGAGATTAGATTTTATCGTATCTCAGTGAGCATGTTAACGTCCAGTTCATAAGGCTGCCAATTTTTTAACGAAAATGGACGAGTTTGGAACATGTGAAAAATCAAGTGACTATTTTATATTTTTTTAATAATTAAAAGACTCAACAAAGCAATACTGTATAATCAATGAGTCATTTTGTAACTTTTAATAGTAAAAAAACTCAACAAAAAAATCCTATAGTCGGGGGACAATTTTTGTTATTTACCCAAATTTAAAATAAGATATTAAATCTACATATACACAAATTTTTTTTTATAGAAATTGACTTTAATTTTAAAAATAGAGATTAGAAGAACGATACATAACTTGTATTATTCTTGTTATTACCATTGTTGTATATAGGATTATAAAATTTGAATTTTTTAGCTTAAATTATGACCTGTTGGCAACTTTGCATGAGATATATCTTCAAATTTGACTGTTCTTTTCAGAAAAGAAAATACAAAAGATAGATTAGAACTTATAAAAGCACCAAAAAGAAAAAGTATAAAAGGAAATAGAAGGGACCCTTAAGCAAAGCCCGGCACGGCCTCCTTGGGTTAACAATCTCGGACAATTCAAAAGTAAAAGTTTAGTTAAAAGCTTTATCTTTACCAGAAGAAACACCTCTCTCTCTCTCTCTCTCTCTCTCTATATATATATATATATATATATATATATTGGTATAAATGAGATTGTGGTAGTTTATGAGGGATAATTTCTTATAATTGTGGTGAATAAACATAGACGTATTGATCAATAGATAAGCTGTAAAAGATGAATCATATAGTAGGAAGGAATCTCTTTCTTCAGCCTTACAAGATAATATATACACTTACCTTTAATACAAATATCAAATTCAAGGTAATTATAAATATACGTAGATTGACATTACAAATAGATTTAACTTTCAGATAATAGATTTATCTATGGTAAATCGCATAATCTATCAATAGTCACGTCAATAAACAGTGATGGATCTGA